CACACTGCCACACTGCCACACTGCCACATTGCCACACTGTCCCTGTGGGACACGCGCCAGGCGCTGAACCAGCAGCCCAGGGCCACAGGAGTGTGTTCAGCAGGAGCCCTGCTCATAGGCTGCCAAGATGACAAATATTCCTTAAAGGAGACCATTTCGTAAAATAAACCCATCTTAATACACATGGGGAACATCTATAACAAAATATATGATACACATGTGTATATTTACTGTATTTAAACCCTGCATTTGTGAGATGGACTAACCCTAACCCTAGCACTGCCTTTGTCTGAGGTATGCTCAGAACTGCTCAGTGGGGATAATGTGCTTGGGATAATCTGTTGCTTGCTGAATTATGTTCCTGTTCTGAGTTAGGCGTGCAAGACACAGGACACAAAACACCAGTTTTCCTCAGAATGTGACCCAGATGGTCTGTGTGGCCTTTGAAATGTGCACTTCGTGCTCTGGAGATGAGTCTGTCATGGCAGCATAAAGGAGAGTTTTGGCTTTCAGAGGCACACTGTCCCCCCACAGCGCTGGGGCAGCTCTGCCCTACATCACTCCCACCCTGGAGCAGCTGCTCTCTAAGCCTGAACAGCTCATGCTCCATTCACAAAGTTCTGGCTCCAGCCATGGACAATAAACAGGCTCTGCACACGTGTGTGGGTAGGGAAGATGTGCTTGGGAAGCTTGCTATGGCTCAGATGTGACCCCCTGAATGCCTGAGAGGACAGTCAGTTCCCTTGGTGCTGGCTGAAATCACTGGGCTCCCACTGAGCTGTATGTCACAGCTTGTCATTCCCTTTCCGTGGGGTTTCCTGGCCTGAGTGATGCACGTTAGCTGCCTGACTAATGCCTGAATTTCACCATACAGAGATCTGCAAAATGCTCACAGGGCAACAGCAAGCACACCTGTAAATATGTCCTCTTTACGATTCAGCTGTGAGTCTGATGCCTGCTTGGGCACACAGGTATTCAATCCATACTCATACTGGAACTCCCCACCTCCATCCTGCAGGTCACAACGCTAGCTGCTGGGAATATGCCAGTAAAATGTGCTGATAGTTGTCATCCTGCAGCATTCTCTCTGAGCAGTCTGTCTCTTCCTTGCTCTCCATGTCCTCACAAAGAAGGTAAGGGTTGGGGCACTGCTGACTGTGCAGCAGTTCAAGCAGGTGCCAGCCAGGCCTTGAGTGGGATGGCACTGGGAGGACAGAGCACAAAGGATGTGTTAGCAACATCTCCATCCTGGTCCCAACCCAGGGTGGGCTCCTGCATCCACACTGGGGAGCAGGGAGAGCCACAGCTGTGTCCAAAGTGGCGCTAGGAGAGAGGCTGGCTAAGGTGTCAACATTAGAAATGGATGGCAATGTTGAACTGGCCCTGTGACAGACAAGGGAGAAGGAGCTTCTAGTTGCAGCAGCACAGAAGCCCATGAAACACCTCGGTGGAAAGGAAGGTGTTGGTTGTGAAGAGAGACAGCAGGTGTGAGTGCAGGAGGGTGCCTGGAGAGGAGAGAAAACACTGAAGGAGCAAAGGACCACAGGGTAAACAGTAACCTGAAGTATGTGTCCAACGTGGGGTCAGGGAGCTGTGCCATGAACTGATGTGTCCTGCTGGGCCTGAGGGGTTGAGCTGAAGGGAGATGGGCACAGCACCACAGTCTCAACAGGAGCTGGGCTGTGTGTCCTGCAGAGAGCTCATCCCCGCACCGGAGGCCACTGGAAAGCCCCAGTGTGCTCCATGCCTTCGGGATTGCAGGGAAGGAGAGGGACAGAGTAATATTTGGTAAAACCACCACTGGGGGATAGGAACTGTTGGAGGGTGCAAAATGTCATGGTGTGCTGGTGTGGGGAGAGGTGAGAGCTGGGCTGGAGGAAGGGAGAACAGGGAGGGAGGAACAGTGAAGCTGTGTCCTGGTTTGGGATCCTGCTCAGGGATGCTCGCAGGGCTCAGTCAGTGCTGACAGCAGCAGCTCCAGCAGCACAGAAACAGCAGAATTTGGTGGTGATGCTCTCTGGGAGGTACCACACTTTCCTGCAGAAACCCCTGAAGCTAACAGGCTCTGGGCTCGAGAGAGAGAAACCACTCAAGCAATCCATCTGGAACTAATGGGGTTTATGCCTTTGATAGGGCTGGGCTTTTTCATACACCTTCTGTAGCCTTGGAGTCTGCTGAGACCTGAACCTTGCTATAATCATCTCCACACAGGACAACAAAGGTTGCTATTTAACCCAAAATTTAGTCTGATATACCCTCCCTGGCAAATAAGCTTGAATAATTACTGCAAATTATTAAAAAAAAATCTGTCTTAATTACATCTCAGAGGATGAAAATTTCCCACCTTGTCTGAGTGCAGAAAGAGCAGCTGGCAAATGGAGGTTTCTCTCTGTCTGCTAAATGGAATCTGTTTTCACTAACCCCAGACAGTTCTTAGCCTGCTTATTCTTCTGTTAATTAGCGCTGGCACCTCATGAAGACTCACCTGAGCCAGGCAGGAGGCAGCAGCCCTGCTCCTGCCCCATCTCCGGCTGCTGTGGCTCAGCTCTGGCTGCTCCCAGCCTGAGGATGGCACCAGTGGGACTGCAGATTCAGGTGGGTCTGAGCCCTCTTGGCTTGCAAAGACACTGAATTCCAAACAGCCATGAATGCCCGAACCCCTTGGGAGTTTCATTCACCTCTCCAGGCTTGAAATTGTGGGGACAGCTATTAGGAATCTGCCTGGACGTGACCAAAGCCATTAGTCCACCCTATATTAAAAATCCCTTCTGGGCCTGGGCTTGACTGCACACAAATATAAAGTAGTCTGGAGAGTCTTTCATCTCGACCACTAACAGAACAGCAATCTCCTCACGATTGCTGTGACAGATGTCTGCTGGAAAATGAAGCCTGTCTGTTTCATGCAGGCAAAAGTGCCCATTGCTGCCATCAGCTGCCGTTTCCCCCAGTGCTGCCAAAAAAAAGGTATTGCTGTCCTTGGGGTCTGCCACCACCCATCTGTTCCTCTTGCACAGGCTCTGAAAATGTGAGCTGCTCCTTGCCAATGTGCTGTGCCTGTGATGGAGAGAGCTCTGCTCTCCAAACATGGGTCTGGATGCTCCAGAGCACTGCTGGGGACAGGGAGGTTGGAGCCTGCAGAGGGGAGGCAAGGGCTTTGCTGGGAGGGGACCTTAATCTGAATCACAAACTTTAATTTGTTGTAAATGGAAGATTAGCTGCAATAAAAAGCTAAAGAGGGAAGTGCCTTGAACTCTGTGAAAATTCCTGAACTTCCTATTAATAGATCTGTGTTTAGAATAACATGAAAAATTGAATTTCTCCAAGCAGCGAATCATGTGCATTCCCATTAGTGCTTGGCTGTCTGCAGTCTCACAGCCCCATCTGACTCCATCCCTCCTGTGCTGGCTCTGGGGTCAGGGTGCAGCCAGAACCTTCATGGGTTCTGTAGCATCTCAGCTGTGGAGATTCATCACCGGCCTGGTGATTTTATAAAACATTTGTGTTCTCCATACTTTAT